GCCCCGGGGACAACCCGAGTCATCGCTCCCATGCGCCCCTGCCAAAAAAAAAAAAATCACCATTTTACAGTTTATTGCCCCAGTTCATCAGAAACGAGGCGACTCGGTTGCAGGCAGGGGTGGGGGCTCTGACCAGCAGCAGAGGAGCTGGCAGGACGCGGGTGCTGGCCAAGAGGGTGGAAAGGTTGTGGCTCCCATCCCGCACACAGCCAGCACGGAGCAGCCCGCTCTGAGCGTGGTTGCTCCTTAACGCGGGTGCGCACCCTTCGCCAGCCAGCCGCGAGTGTCCCGGAGAAGGGGAAAGCGCATGGGTGGGGGTTTGGGGATCCCGAGCAGGGAGCGATTTCCCCATCCCAAAACCAGGAAGGCTGAGCGCCAGCTGCTGGGGGGATTAAAAGGGGTTGGGGTGCTCCCTGCCCTGCAAAACACGGCTGCAGGGTTTTTCTCCGGGCTGCGCGTCCCAGGCACCGCGCTGGCATCCCCATCCCATCATTTCGGGCCACGCGTGGTGCTGGCAGGTTGCTAAGAGCAGCTTTCTGCCTGCCTGCTCCCATCTCCAGCCGCCCTCCTGAGGGGGTTTTAATGAAAGCGGTGGATGAAGCGCCATTAACCAGAGCCCGTTGCTGACATTTCCTGCCTTATGCAAACCATCAAGCGGGCAGGGAGCACGCAGGCAGAAAGAGAACATCTGCCCACCTGAGCCATGCCCAGCAACGCGGGACAAGGCTTCAGACGGGAGCTGCCTCGATGCCAGCAGCGGGAAAACCTTGTCCCCAACATGGGGATGTTTCGAGCACGTGGGCTGCTCCACATCCCCTGGGACGCAGGGTGCCACGAAGCTGCCCTTGCAGCGCTGGGGCATCAGGTGCTCCAGGGATTAAAACACAGGGGGGCTAAAATCCGTCCTCCACGGGCTGCAGGAGTGGCTGCAGAGGTGCCCAAGCTGCTGGGGAGCCCGCGATCCGCATCAGTGGGGGAAAAATCCCCACTGCAAAGGCAGGCGGGGAACCCAGCGCCGCGCCGGATGACATCGTCTGCACGGCATTGCCGGCCCTAGACACGAACCAGTGCCTGGGAGATGTCAGGGGAAGAGATTTATAAGGCTTGCAGGCTCCCAGCAGACACTGGGCATCCTGCTGACGCCTACGCAGAGCATGGCTTGCTCCCCCGGCCCCTCCACGTCGGCACGGGTGGCCGCAGGCAGGCCAGGCTGGGGGTTCAGTGTAGGGGAAGGAGGTAGGAAAGGGGAAAGTTGGGCTTTAAAAAGAGGAAATGAAGACTGAAGCTTTAAAAATTGATAGCCCAGTATAAATTAGGAGGGGGGAAGGAAATAAACGTGCATTCTCCCCGCAGCAATCTGTCCCAGCAGGCAGCACTGGGGCTGAGGCATTGTGTTTTGTAATTAAATATTCACTGGCACAGACAGCAGTGCCGCCTTGCCCAGCCCGGGGAGGGGGGGGGGGGGCAAAAAAAAAAA